TTGGTGAAGTAGTTGAACTAATGTCAATTCAGGTATTAAAAAAAAAATGTGTACAGGGTTTTTACTTTGATGTACAAATGTAGCTAGGTCGAGCAACACATCTAAACCTAACTGTATACAAAACATTCGGAAACACAACAGTGTCATCACATCTAATCGCATTTGCATAATTTGTTACCAAGGCTGGACTAGGTTACGGATTTGGTTCCGCAAATGTTCAAGATTTGTGATCAAATTTCCTACAATTATGGTTCATTCCATCCACGAAATACATGCAGAGCTTTATGTGATTGATGGCCAAGGCAAAACTACCCCATAAGTTAATGAATTATCAAGTAAGAACAGGATGATTAAATACATGAGTCGATGTGGCAAGAGAAGCAATTAAAATTGCTTAGATCGAAGTAAGAATGTTACTGCTTTCTGAAGAATCAGATATTTTTATCAAATACAAAAAAAAAAAAAATTTAATATGCTGATAAAATTCTGTATTTTTATGGCCCAATATGAAGATTTACTTATAAATCCGGATACAATCTGAATGATTTTCCTAAAGCTGATGGAATTAGTTGTTAGTTATAAATATTGACTCTTTCCGTAACATGATAGACTAATTATATGAACTCATTCTCCCATATAGTGAAAGTGGCTTTGACATGAAACAAACTCATGAACAAACTATTATAAGACTCCTGAAAAACCTTTTGGGCAACCTAAAGCCGATAAAAAGGTAGGCAATATTGTGTTAATCAAATTCATCAATCACGTTTTTTAGGGAACACAACCGTCATACTTATTATCGCTTACCCCCCCTTCATTTAACTAAGAATTTAATGACTTCACTCTATCTATCGCAGTTAGCTGAATTTACATAAAACCTTAACATTAACCGTCGATTTCGACGGGGTTCCACTAGTTGTGAATTAATGTGGTTTGACAGTTCAGCTTATTTACATTTGGGTGGCATAGCAAATTGTAAACATTGTGTGTGTTTAATGGCAGCCATGGAGACCAATCAATATTTACTTTTAAAATACTCAACTCAGATTTTTTAAAGCCAAAGGGGCAAAGCCCACGGTCAGTATCAAAGAGTGAATAGTCCTATAATGGTCCTTGGTATGGTCGCTATATTTGTGTAAAATTTAAGCCCAGTCAGTTCAGTAGTTTATGTGCCTAGTAACACACATACAGACAGACACCACTATATTTTTATATAATAGTATAGGCCCCTAGATATAGATTAGTAAGATATAAGTTTAGTACGGCCGCTTAGAAAACGACCTGCGCGCTAATGCTAAACCAATGCTGGAGGAGGTTGCTTTCTAAGAGGCCGAACTATAGTATTAATAACTCACAGGACATATTTTCAATATAAGAAACCTTAAACTTTTGAAACAAATTATAAAACCTCAACATCTTATGTGGGAATTTTATTTTATAGAAAAACAGATCAAAATTATTTGTTAAATAAGTTAATTAACTTAAGACTGCCCAATTAACTCGGAATTACTTAAAATAATTACATCAAGAACAACACTGTAAGTTAATATAAGTTAGGTCCATCCAAAATTCAAAAGATTATTTTTTCTAGTATTTTTTATATATGTTTCCAATATTCTTTACATTATCTGTTTAGCTTTTTTTTAATTAATTTATTATTAAGGTAAGTAAATATTTACTTTTTGTACCAGTTTAAACACAGCCTGATGATAGTTTCCCTGAATAAAACAATTTATTATATATTGGCCTTGTTGAACATTGAAATTTAGTTATATACATTTCATTATTACTAATAAAATGTTGTATTAACCTGTTGGAGAGGATGTTAGTTTCTCAAGAGGCATAACTACAGGCAGTAGACTGTAGACCAATCCTGTCTTAGAGATAAGTCTTAAACAAACACAAACAACAACACTGGAAAGTTACTTGCTTGATGACACCGATGGAACTAAAAGTTCTCTCTCACTCAAACACCAGGCCTACTGGTCTTTCCGGTTCCTGGTGGAAATATGTGCGTGCGTGCAGTCTGGTGACAGAACCACTATCACAACACTGACTAGTGACTACTGAGTACTGACTGACTAGTGTAGTGTAGTGACTAGTGAGTAGTGACTACACTGGTCTGGACACTGAATGACAGACAGGACAGACTGACACTACTACTACTCGCTCCGCTCTGAGTCGCTCTACTACCAACAACTAACTACAACCACAGAATATCCATAATATAATTCTGTGCTACAACCCTACAACTACGTCGCGTCGTGACTATGATGTGTTTGATAAACAATATATATGACAATATTGAATATTAATTATATTATTGATCGTACAAATAGCGAACAACCAAACTATATTTCAAAATTCGTCCAATAACTTTGTCCAATCTACTCCTGTGGTTCCGTTTCAGTTTCAATCCCTCAAAGACCAAAATTATTCTATTCATGATTCATCTCAATGACTGACTATGATGACTATACCATTTCCAGTTGAGTCGTTGAGTCCAACCAACCATTGACTATTGGATGTATGTATTAATAGTCAAAGGTCCAAGGTCCAACCCAGCCCACTGAGCTATAATACACAATGGTCCAACCATGGTGGAAGTGGAAGAATTGGATTAGAAGGAATCACATCATGACTGGGATCGGAGTGGATCTGATTCACAATCGGACCCAATCAATGACAAGTTGTTGTCAAAGTGCAACAGGTTGCAACTGCAACAGTTTCAACTCGACAACAGTTTAATTAAACAGTTGCAGACAACAGGTTAGCTTTAGTTTACAGATTGTCCGCTAGAAGCGATACGTATACTATGTTGGGCGCAGCAGACAGTTCTAACCTGTTTCAAGAGTTGCAGACAACAGTTTAGCTGCAGCTGCGTTGGCGCTTCGTAGCCTATCTGCAGCCGAGAACCGAGAACTGTTTCGCGTGGTACAGACGATTCTTACATGTTTCAAAGAGTTGCAGACAAAAGGTTAGCTGCAGTAGCGCTTCGTAGTTGCAGTTGCAATTATTGAGAAATGTTTTGGGCTCACCTTTGACCTGTTTCACATTTTCACTCACTTCTCGTTGCTGGAAATGAGGACGTTAGATTAACACGTTCGCTACTGAGCGTCGCATATATGCGACGCCGCGGTCATTGCCACAGACCGAGGTATACATTTGAATCTTACACATAGACCGACTGTCACTTGGATAACAGTACACACAGACCACGGGCGAAAACCTGTAAAACAGTGATCATTTACATTGTAATACGCTACAATCGTGTTTGTAAATAAATTATTCTTGTTTATTTGTATTTTTTATAACCTTTTGTAATGTCGCATATTTGCGACGCCCGGTCTACAGCGAAGACAATGGTGAAAATACTCATAGTTTTCTTGAAATAGTCTAAACGTCGCATATATGCGACAGTTCATTTTTTGTGTTTTAAGGTGAAAGTAAGTAAATAAATAAACAGATTATTCAAGAACAGTTTATAACTGAACAAATATAAAAGCTACATAGGATAATGCAGCATACATACTGCATACATACATACAGTGATGCAGAAAAGTAAAGAACAGTTTTTCCAACTATTATATGACGTCACCAATCATCATATCCACAGACCAAGCGACGCAGTTGTGCGTCAGACATCTCTGTAGACCACTGCAGGGAATTCAGTGCCTTCAAATAGACCACTACAAAGATGAAAGATATAAGCATTTTAATAACATTATTTTTGTGTTTTAAGGTGAAAGTAAGTAAATAAATAAACAGATTATTCAAGAACAGTTTATAACTGAACAAATATAAAAGCTACATAGGATAATGCAGCATACATACTGCATACATACATACAGTGATGCAGAAAAGTAAAGAACAGTTTTTCCAACTATTATATGACGTCACCAATCATCATATCCACAGACCAAGCGACGCAGTTGTGCGTCAGACATCTCTGTAGACCACTGCAGGGAATTCAGTGCCTTCAAATAGACCACTACAAAGATATAAGCATTTTAATAACATTAGAACCCCGACGCAAATATGCGTCGGCAGTCTATTTTAATGTGACTAGCCGTCGCATATATGCGACGGCAGTCTATGGGTGGAAACCGGCCGTCGCATATGTGCGTCGCTGGTCCATGTGAATGGAAAATTTCGTACTATTGCAGTAGCGAACGTGTTAAAGTGTTACAAAACGGGATAGTAAAATTGTGGAATAACAAAACTTATTTTAATACTGCAATAATCTAAGAATAAAGAACAAACTAATAGTAATTATTTTTAAAAAAATCACATAATATGTAGATACAATATTTTGTGTTAACTAAATAAAACAATAATGTAAAAAATAAAGAAATGTAGGAATAAATGCAGTGAACGTGAACAACAATCACATGTGATCATTGTCTGCATTTCGCGCGCAGCTATTTACAACTGCAACAGCCAGTCGTACCTGCAGCACACCCCAGAACTGTTTCATTTAATTTGCAGTTAAATGTTGCCAGTAGTTGTCAACAACGAAAGCGTTTACTGTGCAGTGCACCGGCGGCGGCGCGGCGCCGTTCTGCAGCTGTTTAAAACAGGGTGTTTCGCGAAACAGTTTCATTTCGAAACAGTTTCAGCTCCGAAACAGTTTCAATAAAACAGTTGCAGTTCTTTTGTTCCACCACTAAATGACACAATAATTACAAAACGAAAACACAACATCACATCTTATTCACAGTGTTGCCAATTGCGGGGAAAATCCACAACATCACATACGTGTATGCTTGGTTATTTGCACCTCTAGTAAAAAAAAGAAACCGTAGAAACGTATATTATCGTGTAAATATGGGTAAATTTCAAATTATTTTAATCTTGGATGCTATCGAGGATTTTGCGAGTAATTTTAGAATCCTTGCGAGGAAAATCGAGGATTTCCGTCCTTTCATGCGGGGAAAACAAAAGAGGTCGCTTGGCAACACTGTTATTCACATCAGACAGTCACAGCACAGTAACAAGAACAAGACAACAAACAACAAAACTTAACCTCCAAACCAAATCGTTCAAGTAGTTTAAATTACTAGTTAATTGTGATATTTGGATATTATTTACTGAAATTGATCATGAGTTTGAACAATTGGATGAGCCAACTTGACGAATCCTTAAAAAATATACCGGTAATTAATCTAGCTATTCCAGGTTAGTTTGAAATAACTTATCTACAAACTTGGTTATTAGTTTGTACTAGGCCTAGGCTTAATTGGCCTATCTGAGAAGTAAACTCATTGTGAATAGTTGATGCGCAATTGCGAGAAAAGTTTCGAATGTTTGTAGGCCTACCTCTCGAGACGGTTCGATTGTAATTTTGCTTATCTTAGTGAGTGGTTTTTATCGAGATATTTGTGGCGATTGTTTCGTTTCAGCACGGCATGAACATATAATTTGTCTCGTATTCGTCTAAAAGAGAGTCAAGAAGTCCTTAGGGTACCGGTACTGAGAGTTTTAAAGAGATGTTCATGGCGATTGTTTTGTTAAGTACGGCATTGGCAATTATTAGCATCCAATTTCTATTGTATCTGGCGGAAATTGACCCTCAATGAGAGGTATTTCTTACTTCAACACCGAGGAAGGTTTATGGATATATTAAGTTAGCCTACTTTATCTACGGGGTACACTTCCATATCTGTTGGCACAAACAACCGAATGATTGCGAATGAATGATTATGATGAATGATTATGAATGATTGTTGAATGATTATGCGATTGTTTAATTTGATATATCGTTTGGTTAACTTAGTTAGGTTAGATTACCTAACTAACCAAACGATATATCGAATAATCGGTAATCGATCGATATTTTCATTCGGTTGTTTGTGCCAACAGATATGGAAGTGTACCCGAACAATCGGAGACTTCCGTATCTGTTGGCTCAAACAACCGAATGAAAATATCGATCGATATATCGAATGAAACAATCTAATAATCAATACAGAAGTCTACCTGAAATCTAGAAAAATAATTAATATTATCATCCTCGTAACAGCTCCTATAAGTTGTAATGTAGCATGGTCACCTTAGAATTTAGACAGTGGTGCAGACTGCAGACAAAAGTTTTGGCTTAACACATGCAACAATCGAGAGAAACATTTTGATTGTACAAACCTCTCACTAAGTAATCGAAACAATCAATAAGCGGAACATCTTGAGATGGAACATTTTGATTGTTTAAACATCTCGTAATCGCGCATTACTAATTGTGAATCCTAATAAAAATAGGGCTGCACTTTAGTAGGCTATCTGTCCTACACTCATTTGAATGAATATATCGATTATTTCATTCGATACATCAAGTTTGGTAAGCTAGGCTAACCTAACCGAATGAAATAATCGATATATATCAATTTTTCATTTGAACGAGTGTAGGACAGATAGGCTACTAAAGGGCATCCAAAAATAGAGTTAGTTTCTATGACTGGAATTCTGACACTGCCAAGGTAAGCTATTTATCCTATTTTACATTGCAAATGTTGAGGAAGAGGTTTCTCCAGCAGCAGCAAGCAAACCAGAACTTATGATTTTCAATTATATATAGCCTATTTATTTAGGTTTAAGTTCATTTGGGTATGGTTAAATAAGCTGGCACCACACTGGTACTAGCCTAACTAAGATAAACAACACTATCAATGAACCAACCCAAAGAAGAATAATTTATTATCATTCTTCCACAAAACCAAAGGTGACCTAAGTTATTTTAAGGTTGTTCCACTAAGTTATTCTCATTATATTTCTAGGATCCCATGATTCCATGAGCTATACCATTAAACCAACATCAGATATAGCACCTGACAATGAGCAAATTGTTCTATTATTGGCCAGAGTATTTGGAAGCCCTAGTCGAAGAGTGATTCACAGGTGGTGTGCGACACAAGAATTGACTCTGTTACAACAGTTAAACCTTGGCATCAGGTAACTTAAATTAATAATTGGCTAATAAATGAACTAAAGATCTTGCAACTGAAGGTCTAATACCGCAATTTTATTGGAATGAGCCTGTAAATTAACATGGGTTGGTTATACGTAAGACATTTTAGTAGGCCCTACTTCAAGTGAATTAGTATTTGGAAAAAAAAATTACAAATGCCACATAGGCAACCCAAGCCAGTGGTGACTGCAGTGATAAGAGTAAAGGCTGTCTCATGTTAAGTTGAGGCAGACTACCTGACCAGAGAGTAGAGAAGAACAATGGCTAGGCCGGTCCTTCGACGGCCCCTCCCGACCCTTGGAGTAAATCCCATTAACAACGCTTCACAGAATACTTCACTTAAAAGTGTAAATATATTGATAAATTGAAAATATAATCAATTCGTCATATCTGAAAATAATGTAGGCTATTCTAGATTATAGAAAACAAAATTTTTCATGTTCGTCCCGTGCAAATCGGCCGACTTTAAGTATTAAAACAAACTTTTCCCTTTATAACTAAGTACAATATTTAATTTTAAATTAGGTACTAATAATTGATATTCTGTATGATACTTTGTTCATAATATTTAGGCGGTTTCAGGGGAAGAAATCTATCACCTCCACTTGACCCTTACCTTTAAAAATAAGCATTTGAAACGCCGTTAATAATGTTTCCAACATGTGTTGGATCCAATTTACCATTCATTAATGTAATTAGGCCTACTTAACTTGTATCATTTTGAGTAATCCCAGAATTGATAATGTTACACAATGTACATATAACAGATCAATTAATTAAATATTATTCACCCTGTTTTTGCTTATTTTTCATGAGCCTTGTTCCACTATTTTTCTTTCGTACAACACTTTTTTAATCTTCGCATTTTTGCGCTAAACTTTCTCTATTAGGAGCTGCATCTTACAAAAAGTAGACCGGAAGTCATTTTTTCATAGGCTATATCTCCTAAACTAGTGTGTTTATGTAATAAATATCACGTATAAAAAAGTTTTTAAATTGCATGTTGCTATGTACTATGAAAAGAAAGTTGATTTATGTTTTAATACAAATTTTTATTCTGTAGCAAATTATTGTGAGTTAGCTTTTTCAGTGAAACAAAACAAAAACAAATTAATGTAAACAAAGTCATATGATAAATAAAAGAAATTAGGAAACAGTTGGTTGAACACAGCACATGTTCTATCCGGTATCATGATAAACTATAGGGTTTTTATAAGAAATTTCAATTATTGCTTTAGCAAATTTTATATGATCCTTGTTCCACTTAAAAACTTTTTTTTCAAAACTGATTATTTTCCAATAACATTACTTTGTCTATGATATAAAATTGTAACAGGCTAAATAACCATCCTAGATAAATCCACTAACAACGATGAGCAGTGAGCAAAATCGAGTATTCTAAGTAAATAAGCGATGGAAGTGACTTTAGTGCACTCCGTCCTCCGAGCAAAGCCGAATCGCCGTCCAGTCCACTGACACAGTTCGTTCATCGCCAGTGCTAATGCGGCGTTGCCATACATTGCTTAGCGCCTGGCGATGGTTCGGCAACACAGGTGCCACGCACGTAGTTCAACAAATGTCCGCTCCTCTCCACGCGCGCTAGTGTGCCAATTTCGGAATTCTTCTTTTACTGGGACCCACTCTTAAGGACAAAATGCACGTTTAAATTTATTTTTTTCAGGGTCCAAGGGGGGGGGCTTTAGCCCCTGTAGCCCCCCCCTTGGAACCGCCACTGATCAGGCCAAACCTACCACAGTTTGTACATGACCGACAGAGTAAGCTGATTGGTAATTATGGCGGAAGTAAAACAAGAGTTTTATGTGAAGGCCAACCTGTGATTGTAAGAGACTATAGGGGCAGGAACAAATGGATTTCAGGTGTAATCGTAAAACCTCTAAGCACTGTGTCTTATTTAGTAAAGTTGGAAAATGATGTTATTTGGAAACGTCATATCGATCAGATAATTGGGTTAAATAGTGGTATTACAACAGCTGTACCGGAGGTAAACTTAGATTCGCTGCCAAAGGTATCAGCTGAGTTATATGAGAGGGAGAAATCAGCTGTGGAAATCACCCGACCTATACCCTCTCCACAACATATGAGTCCAACAATAGCCACTCCCACCAGCTCCAACAAACGCCGCTCCAGTTCCTTTTCTCCCGCCCCTCCAGTTCCAGTAACCGTCATTCCACCTTTCCACGTGTACCTGACCACAGACAAGGTGACGTCATTTCCGCACCGAGCCCGCAGCGGGCAGTAACAGCTGATGATAGTAAACAATCACCTGTCAGATCTGAGCGTAGGTACCCAGTCAGGGAACATAGACTAGTAGTCAAGTTAAACTTGTAAATATTATTGTTACAATCCTTATAGTTTATTATGTACTGTGTTTTGTTATTTGTTTAGGAATATTTTCCCTCATTTTATGTGTTTACATTGTATTTGTTGTGTGTACTATTGATTTGATTACCGTACTGTTTATGTTTTTGTCATGTCTAATCCACTGTAGATGTTCATGTTTAAACTTTTAAAATTATTACTTTTATGTCAAAAAGTTAAGGGGGAGGAAATATATAATAATATGTAATAATATGGTAATATATGCATATTGATTTATAACATTTAATATTTGTATTGGCAACAGTGCTGTAATGTATAGTTCATTTGAATAAATTAATACCGTTGGTTGAACATTAACCAATCACAGATAGCGTCCTATTCCCCACCTGTCCTGTATGATGCTTCTCCTCGGCCTCAGTTGCCCGCTACCTACACCGGCTTCACTATGTAACGCTCAATCACTCCTTTAATGTCAACCGGCGGTATTCAGTTCATTACAATGCGCCTTCTTATTTTACCCCGGTCTTACAAGTGCTATAAGTAGTGTTAAGAAGTAGTTCAGTGAGTACGAACATTACAATAACAACTATTTTTGTTGGGTTGTGCTGCTTGTGACAATTGATGTGCGAAAAGCATTTAACTCCGCAAGGTGGTGCAATATGCTGGGTGCTCTAGGGAACACCTTCCACGTCCTGGCGTACCTCATGCGCATCATATAGGACTCATATAGGATCATATAGGATCTCCGGTTTCCCCTCCTCATTTATGACACTACAGAAGACCTCCGGACGATGACTGTAACTTCTGGTGCTGCTCAAGGATCCATACTCGGAACGTCGCCTATGACAGCCTCCTGAGGTCTGAGATGCCTGAGGAAACTCTGTTAGTTAAATATGCAGATGACGTTGTGACTTTAATAGCTGCACGTAGCGTTGAGCTTGCCCAGCTGAAACTAAACCGAGGTCCATGCGCACCATTAGCGCATGGATGGCAGATCACGGGCTCTCGTTCGCTCTGAGCAAAACTGAGATTGTGATTTTAACTAAAAAGAGGATTGACACCATCGTGCTGTAGAGGGTGTGGAATATTGAAGTCCAAACCGCTTGTGCCGCCAAGTACCTTGGGGTCATGGTGTACAGCAAGCTCAGCTAGCGAGACCAGATCATCCGTACGGCGGACAAGGCCGCTAAGGTGGTTTCTTCCCTTAGCCGGTTAATGGCCAATGTTGGAGGTCCACGGTCCAGCCGCAGAAGGCTGTTGATGTCTGCGGTCCAGTCTGTACTCCTGTACGGTGCGGAAGTGTGGGCAAATGCACTCAACAAGGAGGTGTACAGGATGCGGCTCGCTTGAGTGCAGCGTCAGGCAGCACTCAGGGTGGCATCCGCATACCGAAGAGTGTCCAAACCCGCCATCCTGGTGATTGCTGGAGTCATCCCCGTCAAACTTTTGGCGGCAGAGAGGAAGGCATTATATCAGCGGCGTGGAGAGGACCAGGCAAGAAGTGAGGAGCGTGCCCGCACCTTCAAGGTTCTGGCAGGAGAGCTGGGAGCAGGAGACGCGGGGACGGTGGACCAGGCTACTGAGTGGTTTTTTAGTGAGTAGTCTGTTCTTCTCAGGAGTCTCACACTACAGGTTGGCCACCTGTGTGTGTGGATGTATTGTCCCTCCTCTCCCTAAAAAAACTTTGGATTTTATGAAAAAAGCAAAAAAAAGTAATTGGGATATATAGATAATTGTATTTTTTCCTTGCACATAAACAAAAAAATGTCCTTTTTTTACCTCAGCAGACCCGTCATTGGTTGCTGTCAATATGTCTTGTCGTCACGGCCTGTGTCAAATTATTGAGGTCCTACTGTATATATAATATTTTTACTGAATTTGTAAACATTTTTAGGGTGATGCCCTTAAAGTTTACATTATTATTATGACTTTTCAGAAACAGTGAAAAATAACACGGTACCAATCAGTAGGCTTACTTACACCACTTTGTTTTTCAGATATCTGGATTTGAGAATATCCACAAAAGAGGGTGATACAAAATTGTATGCTGTCCACGGTCTGTACGGTGATGAAATATACCCTCATCTCCAAACATTAAACAATTTCCTAGAAGAGTTCCCTGAAGAAATAATAATACTGGATTTTCAACATTTCTACAATTTTAGTGATGAGACTCACGAATTGTTGATATCAATGATTAAAAATACTTTTGGAGGCAAGTTGTGCCCTCTGCCGTGGGACATAATGACAGTGACACTGACGTGGATGTTGGATCATGGATACAGAGTTATTGCTATCTATCGAGACGGATTGGTGGAGAAACATGCGGAGTTGTGGCCTGGAGTGAGATGGCCTACGCCGTGGCCCCAGACTACCAATTCTGAGGCACTACTAAAATTCCTCAACAAGACAATGGCACATCGCCCCAAGAACGCCGGTTTTGTCACCCAATGTCTTCTCACACCCGATACCAAGGTAGGATCATTACTAAATTTTATAAGATAACGGTTTAAGTGAGTTTAATTTTTAACCCTCGAGCGGGTACTTAGCCTTTAAACGGGTATTACAAGAGAGCATGCAGAGATTCCATCACAAGTGAAGCAATTATACTTAAATTAGGAACAAATTTATTTGTTAATCAATTACTCATGTAACTGGTAAAAAAACACTTTTAGGAGATTTGGGCGCATGCTGAGAAAACCTCTGTAACTTAACTGCACTCTCTCGAAACTCAGATTAAATCTAGCTGAAGGGTGGGTGTAAACAGAGGAAATCAAGTAAGGGGCCAGACACCACTGGCGCCACCAATTAACCCTTCCCGGACGGTCAAAATCGAGACATAGAACGGGAAAATATTATAGGAAAAAATAAAAATTAATTTTGTTATTTGCGTTTTGTGTTTTAAAAGTATACATAAAATATACACAATGAAACACTTCATACTGTCAAAATAATTTTTTACTCGTTTTTAACTATGCGGATATATCCGCTACCCGTCCGCGGATGAGTAGAAAAGTAGCGGATATATCCCCGCCACCCGTCTTTGAAGAAATGACCATGACAACGTTGGGCAATAAATAAAGAACAATATGTAAACAATAAATAAATAAAGACAACGTAGTGTTGAGCGCGAAACGACGAGGGGGGAGCGTAGGAGAGAAGGGTGGTGCGCGGGATAGGGGAAGGCGCGGGAGAGGGGAAGGGACGAGAGAGGGGGAAGTGTGGGAGAGAGCGCAGCCATGGAGAGAGGCGCCGTGGTACCGCGAAATATCTGGTTACTGCTCAAGCACCTGCCAGTCTGTCTGAAAAGAAGACGGTTATATCCGCTTCCCGTCCGGAACATCAAAATCCATAAGCGGATATATCCACCTACCGTCCATTATCGCCAAAGACTTAGGCGGATATATCCATCACCCGTCTGGGAAGGGTTGTATTTTTTTTACGAAATCTTTATGAGCGAATCTAAACTCCACTAGCGTTTGAGAGTTTATAATTTTTTTTCTCTTGCAACGCTTGTATTATATTCTGGGGGTGGCATGCATTATCATAACTATATTTTCAGAGGTATCGGAGATAAAACTTAAGTAGAATAATTTAACCTGTGGTTAGTTGTAAGTTTGCTTACCTCACACAATACTTTGTTATCAGTTTGTAATCCATCATCCGTGCGGAGAGTTGAGATCTAAATGCTCCAAGCCTTGTTTGCAAGCAGTAATTCCGTGGCTCAAACAGCAACGTCCAGGCCTACGAGGAATCAACGTTGTCATTACAGACTTTGTCGAAATGGGCGGCGACCTCTTCAGCAAGGTCGTCATTGGGTTGAATGATCTCCTATTGAAACCTTAGTTAATAATTAGTTTGTGTAGCTCTACTCAGTCTATACTAAAAGGCAAGTGAGAATGCTTTAAGCACTGTGTCTGTGATTGTAGTGGTACATAAATGCTTTGAATGAAAAAGGCTATGTTTAGAATGGTACAAGGCACTAACTGTAAGAAACCAAGATAATTAAAACTCTTGAACAATGGCTTTTTTTAACCTTAAAGAAAAATAACTGTGAGCAAAAAAATACTTAAATTTGTTAATCATAATATCACTTCACAAGAGTATACCGTGGTAAAAATGAATTAGACATAACTAAATAGTTCAGAGTTTAATAGTGGGATTTTGGGGTCGCCGGAATTGTACCCCCCTGGAATTGTACCCCCCGGCGATCGTTGACGTCATTTTGACGTCACGCCTAGAGGGGGTACAATTCCACCCCGTACACTTTGATTTTAACGAAATCTAATCTATTTAATGTGGGCAAGTGATCAGTGAACCGGATAATTATATTAGATATTAAAAAGAGCAGGAGATGTACGGCCCGGAATTGTACCCCCCTGGAATTGTACCCCCCGGAATTGTACCCCCTGCCAACATAAAAATATTTACGTACGGGGTGGAATTGTACCCCCCTGGAATTGTACCCCCCATCAGAAAGCCAAATGTGTACGGGGTGGAATTGTACCCCCCGGAATTGTACACCCCTCTTGGACAGCTAGCTTGGCTTGTGTACGGGCTGGAATTGTACCCCCCCACCCACTCGATAATCTTAATTGGTATTATGAAAATGAAGTAGTAGAGAATGCCTTCTACAGTGACATATGTTGGATTTTCAAACCTGTACAGAATAGTGATTGTACCAAGGAACTATAATTGTGAAGAGATTATCCAAAAATCTGGCTTCGCCACTTTACTTCGCCTCGGGCTATATGCATATTTTATTAATTTTCTTTAAACAACTTGAATGCATTATTGCTTAGTTTGTTTTTACTGTAATACTTTTTATACATTATTATCTAATAACATAAAACCTGATCATAAAATTTAACTTTTAATCTCCTTCAATTTTTAAAAATACACAAGACGAAGCCACAATCACAGTACACATCATAGGTCAACGCTTTTTCTAAGAGGCTATTAATCAAACAACAATGCAGGCCTGAAGATATAGGGATTATTCTAAGAGCCATGACCTTCGGTAATGATTCTTCGTAGACCAACAAATCGCTCACAAGTAAGTGAGTGACAGGGTTTCCGGTCATCTCAGAACCGATTTGGTCTCAAAAATTCACTGAATTCCCGCACTGCGTACTCATTACACAATGATTTTATAATAAACCTTAATTATTGTAATATTCAATGATTACCTTAAAGCAGTTATTTACAACATTTTTACAATATAAATTCTGCTCAACACTAACTCTAAACGGATTACATTTAACGGAAGAACTAGGGATATTCAAATGAAAATCAAACAATAATTCATTTTCCAAATAAAATGAGCATGTTTTTTTGCGACCAGTACTAAAATTTAACTTTAATGACTAGGGAAATACCTGGGACTTTTGTGCCCAAACCAAATGAATACTTTGTGCGAAAAGAGAAATTTACATTTTATAATATCCACTAAAGCAATCTGTAACGAGTCGCCGTTAGTTACTTATCACGTATTGTTTTTGTGTCTCTTAAATCGCGTTTTCGGTAAATTACCACATTGTATCAGAGATCGCAAGAGATGATAATAAACAGCGTTGCCGTAATAGTGGGAGATGACGACAAATTTGCTGTGATCGTTTGGGATAACTGCGATGTTCTTGTGATCGCAGGATATACCTGTTGCCTTCCTTAGTGACTTAATAAAAGGCCAAGCAATATGGAATAAACGTTTACGAAATTAACGCTGAGCTTGATTCCCTCATGGACAAAGCTTCTAAATAATTTTATAACCCAAGCTGATTGATTTTTTTTAAAACGATACAAGCAGTGCAAATCCTAACAAACTTTGTTTTTAAGAGGAGTCGCAAGCAGCGAATTTCGGCTTGGTTATATAAATTTGAAATACTTACCTTTTGATTACTGCTCATAGGCCTTAAGCCTTCTTTCACACCAGCGCGGTGCGGGACCGTCCCGCACCGGACGAAGCTGTTTAGACTATTGAATCATATGGGAGCTTTCACACCAGTGCGGGTTGACCCGGACAGACCTAAACCCCTGTCCGGGTTGAAAAATCACCCGCAGACCCGCACGAACCTAAACTTCCAATGCGGGTCGAAACCGCATGAATAGTTTTTAGATCATGGGTTCTTATGTACGCTTTCACACTTGCGCGGGACGGGCTGGTTTTGCCCGCACATAAATCAGTAGTTTTGACTGTCAAGGCTTCTAGGATCAGTGGTTGATTTTGTTGTACTCTTGTTAATAGGCAATTTTGTTGTTCTTGGTATTGAGGTTGAAATTTATATAGAGCTTATTAGTTTGGTCAAGCTTTATATTCTGTTTTAGTTTGAAGGTCAGCGTGTAGGACGTGACCCCCACTGCAGCAAACCATATTCCATTTGCATATTTACATTTTTACAAACGATTTTATTAAACATGCCTGATTTATCTTACTAATATTATAAATCTGAAAGTTTGTGAGTTTGTGTGTGTGTGTGTGTGTGTGTGTTGCTCAATCACGCATAAACTACTGGACGGATTGGGCTGAAATTTGGCATGATGATAGCTTACATTCCCGATTAACATTAAAGCATATTCTTATCTCAAAAACCCTTTCGGGCTCCGCCCCAGTGGCTCTGTAGTTCCCCATGTTAATCTTATGATTTTTCATGTTTAAAAGTAATTAATGAATCTTAACAGCTGTTTCAATTAAACAAGTTGGTTCTGTTCTATGATGTTCAATGGCATAAAAGTTACAAGGACTACCAACAGGGTGCAGCACTATTATTTTTTTAAATTTATGACAACAGCTAATTTCCAACAAAAACGTGAGTGAGCGTAGCGAACGAACTTCAACCTGGAGGCGAGTTAGCGTAGCGAACGAGCTAACCTGAAGGCAAGTGAGCGCAGCGAACGAGCTCCAACCTAAAGGTGAGTGAGCGTAGCGAACGAACTTCAAACAGGACGTGAATGAGCCATGCGAATACTTATGAAGTTAAACGGGGCGAAGCCCGCGGGTACAGCTAGTTTAATATAAAAACATTTGGTTTAACGAGCACTTACATGTTCTTCTAAATATATGGAAGGAAATGAATTGTTGTTTAAGCTAAAACCACCTACAAATATTGTCATGAAAATATCAACTATATATCAACCATATATATCAACTACAGAATTACTTTATGTCATACTAGCTGTACCCGCGGGCTTTGTCCCGTTTGACTTCATAAGTGAGCTCGTTCGCATGGCTCAATCACGTCCTGGTTGAAGTTCGTTCGCTACGCTCACTCACCTTTACGTTGCCTTCAGGTTAGCTCGTTTGCTACGCTAACTCGCCTCCAGGTTGAAGTTCGTTCGCTACGCTCACTCACCTTTTGGTTGCAAGTTAGCTGCTGTTATAAATTTAAAAAAATAATAGTGCTGCACCCTGTTGGTAATCCTTGTAACTTTAATGCTATTGAAAATCATAGAACAGAACAAACTTGTTTAATTGAAACAGCTGTCACAAAAATCACTAAGTTTCAGCCTGGAAACGCCCGGATCCGGGCAGCTAGTGTGAAAGGGCCTTGCGGGTCGTCCCGCATCGACGGTGCGGGACGGTGCCACACCACGCTGGTGTGAAAGAAGCCTACTAGTTTGTATACAATAACTACGCTATAAGAATGGAATGGTTATTTGTTCACGTCACTTTTCTTCGATCTTTTTCAACGTAATTTAATATGACCGTGAAAAGAAGTTAATGTATTTCATTTTTGACAAAATACCTGTTGTAAAATTTAATTCAGGACCACGTAAGTTTGCAGATGGTGCCAGCCAATCACAAGACAAGGCTAGAGCGACTTTTCCACATCGCCCGTTGACAACACTAATTAAAATGTACTAAGCAATATTATCAAATCATCTGGTATTATTAGATTTGGCAACACCGCATGGTTCTCATTGGTCCATTCAAAACCATATGGCAAATAGGCTCCTCCCTCAACTGCAAACTTACGTGGTCCCGAATGTAGGTATCTGGTACAAAGTAGTTCACAGTTTGTCAAAGTTTTAACCTTTGTGAATTTAAGCTAACCCATGAACAGTTAGTACTTGGGAAGGTTAAGAAAATATTAATGAATAACGTACAAAGAAGTCTGTTAGGCCTCTCGCACGTTACTCTGAATGGCCTTAATTTGCAGTTTCTTAGAATATCCTTTTACAACAAGCAATTCATTAGGTGTCGGATAACAGTGCTTCAGTTCACATTCGTGTGATTCCCCTCTAATATCCAACATAACTATTGTTTTGATTTTTGTTGGTAATCATAATAGACAAGCTCCTCGGTTAAATGGGGGGGGTACAATTCCAGGGGGTACAATTCCGGGCCGTACATCTTCTTCTGCGGTGACCAGGGGGTACAATTCCAGGGGGGTACAATTCCGGTCCTATAAGAAGGGCTAGACTGACGGGGGGTACAATTCCAGGGGGGTACAATTCCACCCCGTACACTGGTAAAATAAAAGTGAGTTCTAACTGAGGGGGTACAATTCCAGGGGGGTACAATTCCGGTCCGTACAGTTTTTTAGATGCCAGTGGATTTAATCAAACCACTCGTGCAAAACAATATCAAAGTTTTATGAGGGGGGTACAATTCCAGCCCGTACACGCCGTTTTGGTCGAGAAAATGAGACGTCATCGTGACGTCACAAACCAGCAGGGGGTACAATTCCAGGGGGGTACAATTCCGCCACCCCGGATTTTGAAGTAGGCTTTATTTAGCTCCTGTAGCTTCTAAACAAGCCATTACATTAGCTTTATTTATTTATTTATTTTATATAAATAAATAAAAATAAAATAAACATTGGCTTGAGGATATTCCGTTTGTATGCATCGGATATTCCCCCCCAACACCCCTGGATTCCCTTTTCCCCTACGTCAGAAATCCAAAAACTATTCAAATCCACAAATAAAAATCAGGAATTAAGATTTCACAAACATTTGGTATTTGAAAATTGCTAGTTTAAAACCGAAACCACATTTGTTACGTTAATCAGATGAATTGTGATTGTACAGAAAATATTTTATGTAACAAATATGTACTGCCTTGCTGCATACTACCTACTCAGTACTACTGTTTTATATAGTGCTCACCGCGTCTGTTTGGATA